TTTGAAAATATTGTCAACGTGGTTATTACCTGGACAATGCGGTCAATTTTTGTAGTCTGCAGAAAATCTTCCTGCAGATAGAAAAGTAGGCCATTGGGCACCTACCTCAAAAAAAAATAAACCAATTTCTCTGCCACCCGATATATTTTTCACCCAGACAACGCTTTCATTAAGGAGGAAATCACCGCCAACAATTCAATGCCAAATAGAAATCAACTTCGCACAAAGAGGAGCCACGAACTTAATGGCTTTCTGGGGAAAGTATGGGCTGAGAAAGTTTGAGCAATTCTGAGTCAGCCCTTCTAATACTGAAGACAGTACCCCCTCCCAAGCTATCACTAGAAGAATCCAGACCATGATAATCCTCCTGGAAGTGAGGCAGAAGAGTAACCTACCCAAGGGTTTCCCACACACCCAGAGAGCTGCTTTCCTGCTCAGTGAAGAGTTGAATGTTTTAGGAAAATGTAACTTCTCTCTAAGAACCCTGGAATATGTCTTGGGACTGGTGAATTCTCATGTGCTGCTGGGGCACAGGCTGTTTCAAAAATCGAGCTTTAATCCTATGGCAGGAAGGCTGCCATGAAGCAGAAGAGTAAAGGAATGCAGTGGGGTGGGGGAATTCTAGTACTGCCTCTAAGAATTGGCCTTAATAGGGAACACGGCATAGCCACTGTTAGGTAGTTAATTTGTATGTGTGCTGCAGGTATAAACTCAAATTGATTAAAGTTTTTAATTGGCAGCTGGCTTAATTGGCAAAGGATGGGAAGTGCACATACCCAGTCCAAAGAATAGACATGTCCAAAGGATAGACTTTACTGATCTCTCTCTTCTGCTGCTTTCCCCCCAGCTTCCACATTTTTTAACAGCCACCTTCATAACCAGGGAATTCACCCAAAGGGTCTGGTTTTCAACAGTGCAGAGATAGTATTCCATGAATATACTAATCATTATTTATTCTCTATTAGACAATTGCTGTGGAATTGACATTTTAAGGATACCCTAAATTTCAGGGAATAGATGATTCAAAATGTTTTTCCAGCACTAGGTTTAGAAAGAAGTTTCTATTTTGCCCATACTGGTTAAACAACAACAACAACCAGATCATTAGCAATTTTAGTTCCTAGCAGAACTGGTTGGCAGTGCCTAAACTGGAGGGTGAGCGTCTCTTTTCATTAGAATAGTACTATGATGTGACTGGCCACAGTGACATCATTCAACCCCTTGTCAGATTCTCTGGACTCAATTTCTGAGTAAGTATTTTTGTTGATATGCCCAGGAAGCCCTCGTTACACTCGATCCTGGGCTCTGAAAATTACCACAGGTGAGCCCCCAAACACGATACCTTTGCTTTCTGCTGGGAGATGCTCTCCCTGTGTGCTCTGGCCTGTCCTTTAGCTTGACTCATGAAGAATAACTCAATTCAGGATGCCCAGTCCTCAGAGCCAGAAATACATTTCCCTGGTTCAGCCAGGGTGTGCTTCCATTCAGTTAAAGTGCTACAGTCCTGTTACCCCATAAAATCATACTGAAAATATCCTGGAATCGGTCCAGAATGGATAGAAGGATAAAAACTGCAACACTTTTTTATTTTTAACAAGTACATTCTTTATGCCATAGGTGTCTCTCCTGATGAATTCAGATTTTTAAACCTGCAATACACAACATTCAATAAATAGAAAACTTCCTTCTCTTTATTTTTTAAAAATAACTTCCCACTTCTCTGCATTTATGACTGGAATAAATATTGTGGTAATTTTTGAGTATCCTAATATGCTTTAGAAGGCAACTTTGAAGATATATTTCTAATTAACTTCCCACTGCAGTAGTAAAATAAGCTTCTAGTTTAAAATAGGACAGACCCATCTCTCAATAAGCACACACAAAAAATACTCAAAATCCTCAACTTAGAACAAGCATTCAAAGAACCCAAAAAAACAGTTCTTGAGAACATTCACCCAAACACACAGGCAGACAATTGTGGCTTAAATATGGAGCACTGATCTGCTGGATAGAGAGTTGTTTTTCATAAAAAGTGCCTCCCAAATTTGGGAGTATTTACTGTATTTCTCTATGAGCAGAAGCCTAAATACTTTTACATAGGGGATACCTAAATAAATCTTGCTCTTTGTACATAATGTGCTGAGCACTCCCTGGAAAATATAACTGGGATTCCAGGAGCTTAAAGGCAAAGGTGTACTGTGGTATCAGGAGGCAATGCATAAACAGAGTGTCCCTGTCACCAAACTTGTGGTGTGAGCTCACAAAGACAAAAATATATATTACTGCTTAAACTCCTCCCTTGCTTATGTCAATTCAAGGGGGGAGCAAAATAAAATACTGTCATGATTTGCCACTCCTTCCTTCTTGAAGCATGACTTGAATCAGCTCCAGACAATGTGCATGCATCTACTGCAGTTGCTGGCAAAGGTCTGGATGTTCCAGGGTGAAGCTACCAATAAATGCTAAATTCAGTTACTGTATCTGATGTTTAGTGAAATAGATGGAGAGAGAAGCTTTGGCCACTTCTTGGACTGTCTCATTGCCCTAGAGCTTTAATCAGGGCTCTTCACTTTGTTAGTTGCCTAAAACCAAACTATCCTGACTGCCCAATTCACCAATTTAAATTCATCTCCATGATAATATTCAGCTTCCAGCTCCTCCAAGAAAACAGCTCAGGATTCCGCTGGCAGTCAATAACCCTGGGATGACAATCCCTGTAAATACTGCCCTGGGTCAGAGCCAGCAGTCTTTTGTCTTTGTGGTGGGTGTGGATTCTAATCCCCAACACACAAAACAACTTAAGATCAGAAAGAAAAGAATGAACTTGTAAATTGCCTTCTCTATTTTATTGTTCACATTTGGTATTGTTTTGAGTGAAACTGGAAAAATTGTCTCCTTTCTCTGTATTGCCAAAAGGCATTCAGGTAATGAAGTCTGTAACTAAACGGTAATTGAATCAGCATAATTTGCACACTGAACGGTTTTCAAATGCTCCCAGTTTACAATTAAAGGAGAATTAATGCGCTTGTTGTTGAGAACGCAGCGCATTAGAATAAATCCAGCACTGTTGTTGTAATGAGTGGAAAACGGTTTAACTGCCAACAAACACATTTAAAATTTAACACAACGTATTGATTTCACTTCTGCTTTTGATAGATTATTTTCCAGAATATCGAAATACTTGCCCCAAGCAATAAACTGAACCGCAGCCGCGAGCCTTTGCCGTGTATCTCTGTGTGTGTGTGAGAACAGTCCAGGGCGTAAGAACGGTCCTGAGGTTCAGGTCGTGCGCAAAGGTACGCAGAGGAGAGAGGCAAGAGGGTTTCCATGATCGAGGGAATGGTTAACGTTTTCCCTCTGGAGCTTTCACTTTGTGGTCCCTCCCCTTTCTTTCAATAAATAATTTCTGTATTTCCTCTGGCCAAACTTTCTGCCCTCGGTCTCTGGGCTGTCAGTGTCAGTGTGTTTACTGGACACAGGTCGGGGCAAGAATGATTGAAGATGGGAAGTGGGAAGGACACTTTTTGCATTCTGTCTGCGTTCCAGCCAGAGCAGGCACAGACGCTGGTGACAGTCAGAAAGGCTGTTCTTTTGGATTGGCTGCCCCGGCTTTCACCTGTTTACCCCAAGGTGTCCTGTAGGCGAGGACATTGACACGCAGCGCCCTCTGGCGTCCTTAGCTGCCACAGTCAGGCGATGAAAGTGCTAAGATCGGCAACATTCAGGGTTCTTGGATTGAAGGGGACACCCATTAAATGCACACACCCTCACATATCCACACAACGTATACTTACACACTCATTTACACAGGGCTCACACAACTAGCAGCCCTGCTGTCACATGCACCAGGGCAATGGCTGGGAAATGTTCTCAATTGCAGGGATGGCAACTCCTTTGCTCCCAGACTTGTGGGTTCTGAAGGTCTTGGGATGATGGAACAGCATCACCACCCCCAACCCATTTATCCAGCCCCATCAGAGATCTCAAGCTGCTCCAGCACTCCTAGCCCGTAAATAAAACTCATTGAACCCTCAGTGCACTCTCGTGGCCCACAGACGGGCAAATGGGGGTCAGTGCACTGAGCGCAACTTCACCAGCAGGATGTGAGTGCGCCCGGCCCTCCCTGAAGCTAGACCGAGAAATTGCACTCTGCGTCTCAGTTCTGCGCGATGCCCACAGCTACCAATCCACAACCACAATAAAGCGCTTCTCGCCACCCCGCCCCCACAACAGTGTGCAAAGTCCAGTCCCCCAGAAACAGCTCTGGGAAAACTGGGACGACAGCTTTAGCTAAAATTCTCCCCCTGACAATGTCTGCCATCCCTAATACGGGTCTCGGCCCTGGAACTGGGGTTTGGGTTTTGGTTATTTGGTGAAAAAGGTGAGTTATGGAAAGAGGGAGGGGGAGCAGCTACATGTTTGCCAGAGTATCTCTGACCTAACTCTGCCTGATCTGCTTATGATGCTCCTAACTCATCGTCAAACTTGTCCTGTCTCAACCCTACAAGTCAAACAAAGTTACCTGCACATTATTTGCATTATTTGCAAATCTCCAAACTGGGGGGCTAAGTGGGTGGGCTGACTTTGCAAGTCACAGAGCAGATTCGAGTTCCCCACTCTCCACCTCTTCCCTTTTGTTTAAACTCTGTGGATGAATCAGTGAGAGTTCACGCCTCCCGCCCCTTCTCTCTGCCCTCTCCTGTAATAAAGCATCCTGTCCCACTATCTCTTCGGTTTCTGGGTGTTTAGGGTGCCCTAAGGCGCTGTTCCGAATCACACGCAGGAGAGGGGGCAACAGAGAAGGAAATGGGAATGGGATCTCCGGAAAATCTCGCAGGAATCCGGAGACCAGCTCGCCAAAGTTGTTTCAACACAGTCTTTAGGAACGCTGCTCTCGCTGAACTGACGGTCTCCCCCTCCTCCCGCGCGCCCCCAGGTGCCGAGGCTCGCGGTCAGGGTGGGATGCGGGGGGTGGGGGAGCGGGACCCGGGGCGACTTACCAAGTAGACTGTGGGCTGCAGGAGGAGAACCACGCACCAGCACGCAGCCTGCATCCTCCCGCGTCTCAAACTTCCTCGGCGGTGCCTTCGCTGAGTCTTTGTTCCTTCAAAAACATAGATCCACCTGACATCCACTTTACAGAGCAAGGAGCGCTCTCAGCAGCCTAGATACAAATGAAATTAGACATCCCATGACCACGCGGGCAAGGTTAGGCTTGGCGACCAAGCAGGGAAAAGGGGTCGTGGTGGGGAGGGGCGAACAAAAAAAAAAAAAAAAAAACACGGAGGCGGGGGAAGAAAAAAATGGAAAAGCGAGTGAATCCAGAGCCTGAAACTAGCGAGCGCTAGGTCCGCAGGCAGGCGGGCAGGAGGTTGGGAAGAGGAAAGGCTCCTTGCGCCCTGTGCTCCTCGGGTGCGAGTTCCGGGCTGTGGGGACAGGAGGTGGCAGAGCACAGAGCCGCGTGCAGGCTGGTTCGGAGCCCAAGCGTCTCTGGCAGCGAGACTTGCCCTAGTGTTTGCTGGCGGGGCGGCTCGGACTAAACGCGACGGCTGGTTCTTTGCCAGCCCTGGCAGTGCTCACACACGTACACACCAGTAGAGAGAGATGGAGAGAAAAAGCGAGAGGGAGAGCAAGCGAAAGAGACTGAGCGAGGGGGGCGCAGGAAGAGGAAAGGGTAGACAGAGCTGACCAAGATTAGGTGCTGGGTATCTCTACACATTCGGTGGGGTGAGGGTGGGGAAAGGGAGTGTAAAATTTGCAAACAGGAAAGCCAGGCTCAGTTTACCCTTTTGAGTGCCCTGCACCTACAGAGATACACACACACCCCTCTGGTGATACACACACCCACTACTTTTATTCGAGCCAAGGGGCACAGCCAGTGCTAACTTCTAGAGTGGAAGTCTGCCCGGGTCTGTGAGAGTCGCCCGTCTACAGCACTCTGTCCGCCAACCAGGGACCCTCCCCACCGCCCCTTCCCAGAGCCCCACCACCCCGCGCGAAGGTTTCCCCTCCGGGACGGTAGAGGCTAAGAGTACGTACCGCACTGGGCTGGGGGCAAATCCGGTGAGCAGGGACCGCTCTGGGCAGGCTCCATGGAGGAGCTACTCGGGCCTGGCGTCTCCGGCGCCCCGGACATGCCCTCCCTGGCGCTTGGTCTCCATGCTCCGGCGCGGACCAGTCCCGTTGCCGCGTCCTGCCTCGGCAGATTCGGCGTCCCAGTGCCCGGGTCGCGCTCAGGATCAGTTCCACGAGACGCGAGGCTTGGCACAGCTGAATTCACGGCGCAGGAAACTTAAGAGGCAAGAAAGGAAAGGGGCAGTATAGGAAGAAACAGAGGAAGGGAGGGAGGAAGAGGGAAGGAGAGAGGCGAATGCGCTGGACGGACTGGGATGCCAGCGCTGGCTCTGGGACGAGCAGTCCAAGGCTGTTGGCTTCCCGAGGCTGCCGAAGGATTGTAGAAATGACTTAAGGGGAGGAGTCTGGGCAAGTCCTCGGAACTTGAACTTGAGAGATAAGACACTGGCCTTTCCGCAGAAAAAAAGCCACACGGCAGTTGCAAGCAGACTGAATTTCTGAAAGAGGGGCAGGGTGGCAGAACCTGGAGGCTCCTGACGCAGGGAGCCGCTGTACCTGTACGCGCGACACTGCGAAGCTCTGGAGCCACTCCGGAGCGGGGTCGCAGGTGCTGCCTGTGGTGCTGCCCAGCCACTGAGGGACGCTCCTGAGTGCGCTGTGATTCGGGGCGCAGCCCCGGTGGAGCTTGGCTTGTAGGTCCGCGGTTCCGCGCGCCTACTCCCCGAGACCGGCGATCACATTGGCACGTGGGTAAACGATGCCTGAGATTAATTGGTACCTCGTGTAAATAGATCCCACTCCCAGGCTCTCAGGGGGCCTGGCCCGCAGGGAGAACTGGCTCCTGTGGTGTCTCTGTTGGCCACAGCGCCCCCTCCCCGGGGGGGGCGGGGGGGCGTGAGTAGGGGACTGCCACCGCCGGAGGAGTAGCGGGGAGCGGAGCACCGCGGTGTGTAAATTGGAGATGAGCGCAGGGCAGTGCAAGTCTCCCTCTCGGGCCTCCGGCACCGACACAGGGCGCCGCGGACCTGTGGCTGCAGGGCCCGAGGCGGAGGCGCTGCGGACCGCCAGCCATTCAGCGCGCAACAGACGAGAGGACTGGGCGACCTTGTAGGTTGACACCTCTCGGCGGGCTGGGCAGAGCGAGAGGAGGAATAGGGTGAGGGTGGGGGCGACACGTTGGTGGAGGGAGTACGCAGGGGGATACTTTGCCACCTGTCTCTCTCCTGACACCTCCTACTCAACCATCGTCTCCCAATCTTGGTCTCTCTGCTGTCTGTCTCTGTCTTTCTCAGTCTCTCCCTTGCTGTTTTTATCTCTCAGCGTATTGTCTACCTTCTTTCTCCGTCTTTCTTGAACTCCAAGACTGTCTTCGGCGTCTATCTCTGCGCGTCTCTCTCAGGATTTCTGAATCTCCCCATCTCTGTAACATGTCTCATCCGCACCCCTGGCATTCCCTTTCTTCTCGCCTTTGTCCTCTCCAGCACACAGCTCGCCGCTGTCTGGTGAGATCCCGGAACCAGACCCTTCCGGCTGGTGCCAGCGGGAGGCCAGCGCCTCCTCAGTGTGCTCACACTCAGTCCACAGTCCCAGCTCGGCCGAGGGCGTGTTTCTCCTACTCCCCCCCCCCCCCCCCCACCAACCTTGCCTGTTACTACCGTAAGACTGCTCTTCACCAGAGCCTGGCCTGGAATGATGTACACTTTGCAGGATGAAATTTGATATTAATCTGTAGTTGGGCTGAAATGTATCTCAGGAGCCCAAATAAGTGGCATCAATATAAAATCATGATTTTTAAGGGGTTTTATGGAGTCCTTTCTTCCAACGTGGCTATGACATCTTAGGGTCTACGGTTTCCGGTTTCCACTTCCATCAGTGCAGAGGGGCCTAGACACAATGCATGCGCCACACAACAGGTCCTGGGGACCACCGAATGAGTTCCCTTGGGGAACCCTCGTAGCCTCCCACCCCCAACATAACAGTAAGTATCAGTAGAATCACCCTTTTCTGGAGCAAACACAGAAACCCCACAGAGACCTTCTCTTAGAATCACACCTCCAATTTAGATGACTTCTAAATTGTAGGACCAGCTGCCAGGCACTTTGAGGCCCACACTCTCCCTTCCAGCTAAAAATAGCTCTTTAAAGAGCAAGCTCTTCTAATCTCAAAGTTGTGCTTTACCTCCATGACCCCTTGGAATTCATTGGGGCATATGCAGAGTAAGGCCACGAAGCACATTTTTCTAATTGGGACTCCAAAAAATGAATGCACTTTAGAAAAAATACACACTTATATATAGCATACTTGCAGTGGTATGTTGGGTCTCTTCACTTACCAGGTTTTCCATGCTCTTAAAACATATAAAGAAGAAACATAAATATCTCAGGGCACTCCTATCTGAGGCTGAAGGGTCAGAGTAAGGCAAGGCAAGCTTTGTCTGTTTCACCCTCTGGGGTGCAGGAGGCCACCCTAAAATTGATCTCCACTTTTATGAGCTCCCAGGCCCTCTCAAGCTGGAGAGGGGAGCTGGAGTCATCGCTGCCGGCCTCTACCCAGATGCCCAAGTGCATTCTGTCTGATCTGAACTTGCATCAGGCCTTTGGGAAAAACTAGAAAGAATCAGGCCAGCTTCGGGATACACCAAGTTCTTTTCTAAACCTGACTTCAAAAACATACCTCTAGTGCCATTTAGCCTTAAAAAATTACTGCTTGTGAAATAGAAAGACAATCAAGGACCTTAAAATCTCTGCCTGAATGGGACTGATTATTTAAGAAAAGCACCACAGGCACCTGGTAATGGGACCTGGTCTGACACTTTGTTCTATGACACGGGGTGCCAAAGAGCTTTTTATGGTAATGACCTGAGACCTTCTGCCCAGACATGCAACTCTTACTGGATCCTATGACATTTGGCCTAGGATATAATACAGGAGCAGAATGTCTTTTTTTGTCTTTTTTTTTTTTTTTGTATTTTTGCAGGAGTCTTCATTTCCTGTAGTGGTCAATCAGAAAAGGACATGAAGCCAAGTAACATAAAGAAACTTAATCATTTTTCTGCTAAATATAATTTTAATGACATAATATTGGGGGGATGGAAAGACAAGGATGGCTCAGTCACCCTCCTTTTTTCCTGTCATTTGCTTTAAAAAGAATGAAAACCAATAAGGATATGAGTCTCATGCACACTTCTGTTTAAAGCATCACCCCACTCTAAAATGCACTCTTAGAACACATCTGCGATCAGCCTCACTGTTGGGATAGAACGAAAGTGTGATTATCCGTAAGGAGAATAGTGCTTTTCCTGAAGGCTACCTGATCTGTTTGGAAATAAATAGTACAAAGCAATAATATATTTCTCGCCAGAAAAAATATATTTTTAAAAGAATGTAAAGGAATTTTCAGGTAAAGGAATTAACCTGAAAATGATTATATTAAATAATTTTCCTGAAAACCAGAAAAAAATTAAAATTAAACTTCAACTGAAATAAACTGATAATTCTGTTAACAATAATTGGCTGTTTTGGTTGATTTGCTTTGGTTCATTTGTATGATTCTCTTTATTATGAAGGGGAGAGGGAGGGCATAAGTTAAAAGTACGAATTATCTTGGGCCTGAAAAGAAGAGAAAAAAAGCAAGTTTAACTCGAAGATGACCCTGTCTTAAAATGCATGAATACCACTATCTTTTACCTACACTCTAACTAAAAGAAGAAAACCATTGTTATAAATCATCCAGCTGTGGTCTTACTTAAGCTTCAGGCCAAACTATATCACTTTGTACATATAGTACTACATTGTATCTATTTTTCCCTAATAGTGACCAAAAAAGAAAAAAACTTACAAAGCATGTACTGTCCTTCTGCCCTGACCTTAGCAAAACCTTGCATGTTCATGACCTTGGGCCAGTGCCGGAAAGGCTTCCCTGGCCTCAGACCCATCATATGTACTCGCAGAACAAGGAAGTAGAGGTAGGTGATGGCCCAAGTGCCTTCCCATTCTAGAATTCCTCTATTCTGTTTCTATATGATTGAATGGGAAGTCATCTCTGGCTTTAAAAACTTACCTCACAAATAACAATTGTACACTGTATTATCATTCTCAAAGATACTGTAATTAAAAAATGTATTTTGTTCAGTGCCTTTCAAAGATTTTAAGAGAACTGTGTCTGTGGTTTTGCACCAAGGCCTTTTTTGTGCATTTCTTCTCTTTTCCACGCCTTTCATTACCTTCCTTTTAGGTCAAGGGTTGACTCAAGTATATTAATTATATCATTTTTTCATATAAATCATTCTGTGAATGTTTTTAATGTCATTGGTTTATGAAAATCTACACTCAGAGTGGCATACTTATTTATGAATACTTATTGAAGAAGACCCAAAGCCATTTTCACTACCCTTGCAGAATTCTTAAATGTCACTCAGGACAACTAAGAAAGCTTGGGGACCCTCCACACCCCAAGCTATTTTGCTAGTGGAAAGAAGGATGTAAAGTGATTTGGTATTTGAACTAGAACTTGGTTAATAACTGTAAGGCATGTGTGCTAAATTACCTTTACAAGAATGCTTTAATAACAAGATCACTGGACTAGAGAGAAAAAATAGCCATCAAGCGCAGGAATTAAAAAAAAGGTAAGGGGGAATCAAAAAGCTTTATGTTGAAGGCATTTTCTTTTTTAGAGGTAATTTATATGCTCAGTCTTTGTATACATATTTCATTTATTCTGCTACGTGAGGACAGAGGGTTCTCAAAGGTAGGGCAGTTTCAATTATACTCACAAACTTTAAAAAGAGAATGAACACAATCAGAAAAATTGAAGTCAGCATTAAAAAGGCAGTTGAATGTAAAAGATGGGAAGATTGGAGTCATTGCCCAGAAATCACAGTTAAAAACTTTTTAAATATTGTGAATAAGCAAACCTTTGTATTATAACCTAATTATAGAAATTCTTCATGGGGTCTCTCCAGGGATTATTAACTGACACCCCTAAAGCAGAATTACTAAAAACAAAGAGCTTGATAACCACCGATCTGTTACCAAAGCGAAATATAGTACATGCTTTCAGCCAGAACGCACACTGGGACTCTGAAGCACACAGGGGTGGAAGAGACGATGAGGACAGAGGTGGATGAGCTCTGTGGTTATCTGGAAAGTGAAAGCAACTCTGCAAGTGCGTGTTTCATCTCCATAACCTAAAGTACCTGGGTATTCTGAAACACGCATGCTTTTCCAGCTTTTACCTGATTTGGCGATATGAAGACAGAACTCTAAAACAAGATGATTGATATAGGCAGGGAACAAATGGCCACTTCAACCCAAATAGTAGACTGATAAGAATGCCTGGGATTGGGCATCTTTTTTTAAAGATTGTATTTACTTATTTTTAGAGAGGGAAGGGAGAGAGAAAGAGAGAGAGAGAGAAACATCAATGTGAGGTTGCTGGGGGTCATGGCCTGCAACCCAGGCATGTGCCCTGACTGGGAATCGAATCTGCGATG